GAAAATATGACTGTACTTGTAGTACCTGAAAGCAACACGACAGCGGATGTAGCAGCAGCAGCAGTCTACAGTACTCTGGCAACCATGTAGCGCTGAGAGCAAAAACATCTTCCTCTCCGACCAGCTCAAGTGCCATGTTCTTATATCCGTATCGTTGTAGAGTAACAGTGCTCGGAAAATGTGTCTCAGAGAGTAAACGCAAGCTCAGAGAGGAATTACAGGGCGAGGGAGTCGACAGCGATACCGAAGCCTGCTATCCAGGGGCACTACCTCCCCTCGCCTGGAGGTTTGGAAGTGGACATTTAGCTGCTTTTCTTTTTCATTAGCCAACCTTGGCGGGTTTTTTTTCTTTTTCTTTTTTTTTTTAGTAGCTCTCAATGGCTCCATTTGTTTAACTAAGCGTGCCGTGGACGCGAGAGAAGGGCGTGTAACGCAAATTGTACCAGGGCAAAGCTCGTTTGCACCGGGGTCCCGTCTCCGCGTTACCGCCCCGTTTTTTCCTCTTGTAGTAAGGCTAGCAGCAACAGCAGGGAGAAAGCCTGCCGGGTGGAGTTGGGCTTGAGGAATACAACCGAAAGCTGCTTTCGCAAACATGGGCAATACAACCTCCTGCTGCGTGTCGTCGAGCCCCAAACACCGGAGAAGCAACCACTCCAGGCTGGAGCCCTACCGGCCCGAGCCGGAGCTGAGTCGCGAAGACACGGGTTGCAACCTCCAGCACATCAGCGACAGAGAAAATATAGATGGTAAGATGCAGACTGGCTTCTTTATGGCATTTAAATAAAATAAGAAACTACAAGTTTCTTATTTTATTTCTTATTTTCTAGTTTCCTCTAGATATTATTGATATTATCTTTATAATAGTGTTGCAAATCGTTTAGTATCTCATATATATTGTGATTTATTACTCCAATATGCTCACGCTTCTGCAGAAATAGGCGATTAAACAGGTAATGCGACCTTGCAATGTCTGTGCGAAGGACCCACCCACCCATAATACCAATAACTGCGGTAACTGTGGGCTTCATCTTCATTGGACTCCAGCTTGTAAATCTAACATATTTCATGTTTCCAAGCTTGGATGGGTGCAACATGAGGATAGTTTTCCTCAAAAAAAGATAAAAAGATAAAAAAAAAAAGGAACAATTTCACTGATACCTTTCATTCCTATGACACTCTGCCATAGAAAAACAACAGTGGGCAGGATGAATGAGTCCGATGTCTTCAAGGTGGACCTCTGTCTTGTACGATTTTTGTCAAGCGTCTGCATGTGAAAGAAGGCATAAGGCAGGGCAGTTTGAGTGCGGGTCGCTGTTCTGGTGGGAGGTGATGGTGCTGGACAGGGTGTCCACTCACTTCCCTTTTAAGTAGGAGATGTGTAACCAGTTTAAACTCTCATTTACACCAGCACATTCACACTCTCACGCACACACACACAGATAAAAGTCAAGTGACACTGCTTTTGGCCTCTAAACATTAACACAGCTGTTGGAGACAAGTAGCATTTGAGTAGCAGTAGTATTTCAGTCTGACTGAAACAAATTTATTTAGGATCAGTGACTTCATCCGATTCGAGCCAGGCCTTAAGTGTCCCTGTTTGTGTATCCTTGAAAATCAAAGAAACCCTGCAGAAACTCTAAGGAAATGCGAGGGAGAGGGAGTGAATGGGGGGAAAGGAAGTCATACCAGCATGCCATAGCAGTAAGGAAATTACCAGTAATGCTTGAAGAGATGTGCAGTAACTGTGAAACATTAGCAGGAACCAGCCCCAATGCTGGTTGCTGAAGCAGACTTATCACAGTTTCTCAACTGTGGCAGTGTTTTTTTTTGGTCCCCTCCAACCACCACCACAGTGTACCAAAGCTACAGTGTACTGCTCTCAGTCTAATGCCTTTTTCCAGGCAGGAGATGTGTACCATTGTGTACCTAATATTTCCTATGCACATGACATTGCGCAATACGAGTTTTCTTACTAAAACATGGTGGAAAGACCGAAATGTGTTCATTTTTGTTTCTCTTTCAGTGCTATTTATGACTTTCTCCAAAGTGGTTGCATTTTTTTATGAGCTGCACAACTCGCACTGTAATTAGGGACGTGCAGTCGTACCCCTGCCCGTCTGTTAACGTGTAAAGCAACACAAACTTTACAAGGTCTGGCCTGTTATGGTTGATGTCATGAGTGTTACAGACGAGACAAGTGACGAGGGTGCACATTTGAACATGAAGCCGACCCACTCAGATGCAAACGTGCATGTCTGAAAGAGGGGCTCACATGATGTGCTTTGAATACAAGCTCTGAACTGTTTCTTCAGCAGCTTTCTAAATAATGGATCAGTCGTGGAGTGGGTCATGTGAGTGTTGGCCTGCGTGGCTTTTAATAAGCATTTGGATGTTTATGCTGCAAAGGATTTCTTAGTTGGTAACCACAGATATTGATATTTCTGATGTGGGTTTGGATACCAACAGGCTAAGCAAAGTAGCACAGAAATCCTTTCTACCTAGTTCTTTCAGGTCCTCTTGGGGATTCAAAGGCATTCCAGGGAGGGGCCTGCCTGGGCCTCCCGTTGCCTCATCTGGACCCACAGATCTCCCGTGATATAGGCTGTGTCTGATGAGTTGTGAGATGGGCTTCACGGTTAAAAACACCCTTTAGTCACAGCCCGGCTCCTGATTACACAGCCCTGTGCCTCAGTCCTGCTCCAGCTTGTTTATTTTCCATGTGTTTACTGGGTTTTGAGGTAAACTCAGTTCAGTCCACTTTTAAACAGACACGTTTATTATTCAAATCTAGTAGATGCGTGATATATGTTAAGTGAGATCAGTAGTAGTAGTGATAATTGCTGTTATCAAGCAGTCACACCTCTCATGGTTATAACACTTTCACAAGAAGTTGTGAGAGGTCAGTCCTAATAAAGAGCAGATTTATTCACGCGCCCAGACAGCTTTCAAGGGAAACACATGTTTGGCAGCTTGTACCTGCAGTTTGATTTCATCAGTCAGTGACCACGGCATTCTAACAGGAGTACAAGTATAAGAAGTAAACATATATACCGTCAGATGCTACCATAAACCTTTACCTGGATAAATAAATGCTTTTGGTTGTTTAGACCTTCAGTAGATAGATTATTAAGTTCAGTAAACTGTTTTATTTCACAGAGTCACTGGACAAGAGCTCAAAGTAACCAACAAACCAACAAATCCAGAAACAAAGCTCATCATCGTGCCGTTTACAATAGATAGAAAGCAGGACACAAGAGCAGACTCCATGCTGGTTATTTGTGTTTGTCCCAGGCTATTTACACTAGTGATTAGGTAGTGACCCTTTCACCCTCTCACTGGAACTATAATAGCATTCCATAGGCACAAGACTCATCTGTGTATCCTGCACAGGATCACAGCTTTGTCCAGGGAAACAGGGACATATATATATATAGATATATTCGATATAATATGACTTTAGCTGTACAAAGTGCATCTCTGCCCCTTTGTATTGTGTATTATTATTTACGTTACCCTGGCTACACAGAGCTTGTGATTTATTTAAAAAAAAACTGCTGACAGTGGTGACAACACATGACCACACTCTTGTGTGTTTGTGTGTGCAAACAAACCACCTGAGTGCACATCTTACTTAGAAGTATGAAAGGCTCTGCTGCTGGGTTTTTGTAATCATACTGTATAGACTGTTTATGTTCAGTCTGCCCTGTTATGGCTGTTTTGCAGATTATGTATAGCAATGCCCATGCAGAGATTTGTCAGGGTCAAGTTCGTAATCTGTAATACAGATTTAAGCAGCTGGTTCCAAATGAGAGGATATTGCTGTTAAAATACTTGTGCTTTCTCTCCTGTGTTGTTAGACTGGTGGCCTGTGTGGTTACTGAGCAGATTACACAGTCGAGACGGTTTCTATTTTAAATGCATTTGATATAAAAAATTCACGACTAGTTATGTAAAGATGTGTTTCTAAAAATCTGTAAAAAGGTGGCTTTTTCAATGCAGCATTGGTGTGTGTGTATAAAGGCTTTATTAGCATGACCAAACACCATAAATATATATTTTTTTAAATACCTTGAGTTTGCCTGTCATCACACACATTTCCACAGGTAATATTTCTGATTATTTATTTATTTTTAATTAAGAAGGTGAACGTATGAGTTTCTCCTCTCTTCTGAATGGAAAGTCATGTTACTGATTGAGAGCTAGATTTTTAAAAATTATTCTTAACACTCCCTGTAGAAGAAAATGAGAGGGAAACAGAGGACATGATTTGAACAGAGATAATGATTAGACCTCTATGTGCTTCTTTACTTTCATTGCTGCACAGAATAGAGAGTGGGATCTCCAAATCAACAGCAGCTCTATTTTTAGCCTAATTTGATCAGAGACCTTTGTAATGTTGAACCACAGCTCAGCAGCACCAAGTAACGGTAAAACTAAACCTCTTGCTCTCTCTTAGAATTCAAAGAAATGTGAAAGGTGATTAAACAGATGGATCCCTCGCCCTGTTTGGATTTTACTTACCACAGACATCTGTAAATGAGCAATGGCTTCAGGCCCAGCATTTGTCCATCTCATCAGTGTTAAAATTAGTTATTTCTGGAGCATGCACACACACGCGCACACACACACACACTGATGAGTCTTGCTTGCAGGCTAATTGAAATCTGGACATGGATTATTCATGCCTGGTTGATGAGCCCGGGGAGTCTCCTAACTATGATTTCCAGACAAGTTGACCTACATCTATGGTGTATGATACTATTTTATTTTGAGTGTGTGTGAGGTGAAAATATTCCTAAAAACCTGATTTGTTAAATGTCTTTTGTAAGTATATAGATGTTAGATTTACTTTAAGTAGGGATTTTACCCATACCCATGTGAACCATATCAAGTGCAGAATTGCAGAAATTCATATTTGAAAATTGACATAATTAAAAACTGCACGTCAAAGCTTTAAGATGTTGCAAATCAAATCTTGAGCCAACCTGTCGCAGAGCTTTGCTGGATGTTTTCATGTTTCTCGAGGATGTGACTTTAGATGCTGTTCATGTGCTGTAGATTTATACCTCTTAGCCATAATAGGCTGAGAGGTAATGTCATCACCCCGCTGGATGGCCACGTGGTTGGTGT